AACAAGTGCCTCGCTAGTAGTAACAAGTGCCTCGCTAGTAGTAACAATTAAATATAGAGAACTCAAAACATTACGGATTGTGTTTCGTGAATCGAATCCGTCGATGTGTCTTCAGGTGCACCATGTACATCCGATGTTACAAGGCCGCGTCCTTGTTCCTAGCGATGCCAGGAGCTACTAGTCGCGTCCTTGCTCCTAGTAGTAAGGCCAGGAGCCTTGTTCCTAGTAGCTTCTTGTTACTACTAGTAAGGCACTTGTTACTAGAAGCGATGCACTTGTTACTAGTAGCTTCTTGCTCCTAGTAGCGATGCCCTTTGTTCCTAGTAGCAAACATTGCTCCTAAGGCCAGCCTGTGTGAGCGAACCTTGTCTTTGGTGCAGGCCGCGTCGTGAGTCCGAACGCAGTTGGCGACGCAAGTTGTCGGTTCTCAGACGTCGGTTCGCAGTTGTGTTTTGACGTTCGATATGTGGAACCAGTTTCCAGAAGGAATGCTTGAAGATCCGTTCCTGGAGGCCAGCTTGTCTAATTGGGCATAAGAATAGTAGATTTCATTGATTAACATTTGTCCTAGCCTTTTTGTGGAAATGCAACTGCAGATGAAGTTTGGTCAAAATTGCCGTGATTTATCGTGACTGCTGCTTCAATTACTGGTCACATGATACCTTTCCTTTTCGTTTTTGTCCGCCCCATTGATTCATTGCTTTCATCCGATCCGTTGATTGCGAGAGGGATCGCACGAGACACATGAATGACTCCTAGTAGCTTCTTGTTACTACTAGTAAGGCCAGGAGCCCCTAGTAGCTTCTTGCTCCTACTAGTAAGGCACTTGTTTCTACTAGCTTCTTGTTACTACTAGTAAGGCACTTGTTACTAGAAGCGATGCACTTGTTCCTAGTAGCGTCCTTCTGAATGACTATTGTGTGACTACGTGGAAGAGTTGTACCATGTTGAGCGGCCCTCACAACTCTTGACAAAGTCGAGTAGGTCCAGGTCAGCTAGGCATTGAAGACATTGTTTGAATGCCTCAGTGGCCTAGATCTCAGTAGACCTCATATGCCAAGCCTTGCTGTTTCAAACGAGCGGAACATGCGTAGATAGGAACGAGCGGACGCTTCTCTCCAGGAGTCCACCGTTTCGGCGAGACAGACTTGGGCCGATGCACGTGACACAGATGCACGAGATGCGAGGGGCGTGCAGTTTCGTGCTTGTCATACACGGATGACAGGGACGTGGGGGTGAACACCAAGATTGTGAGTAATAACTTGATTTTCACTCTGTAGCCATTCTTGTCAAAAGCTTTTGTGAGCCAGCAATCTAACCAGTTCCACATCTGATGGGTGATAGTGAAGTTGCCCAACACAAGCCGTGTTCGTCATTCGTCATGGTAGTCATGGTTCCCTCCTGTTCCCCACCTTTCTCGATGCTGAGCCTTTGGCCAGCATGGCGTTGAAGGTGAGACCAACGCGATGATTGCAAGCGTCCGTGCGCAGGGCATCTACATCCTCGAGTGGCCTGACTGCCACGAAGGACCGCAGAAAAAATGTTCTAAAAAAATAGAAGACAATGGACAAGATTGCCTTGAGGAAACCAACACTTTGAAGCCTCAGTTGAAATAGTCAAGATCTCAAGAACTGTTTAGAGCCCATCTAATGTTCCTCCGGGTCATGTCACGTAGGTTGTCTTTTTTATCCTCAACCTTTTCAGACCAAAGTGATTTGAGGTCCTTTGGGAACGCAGGGCTTTCAGAGAGATTCCGCATGCTGTGGCCTCCGATGCAGCCTTGGAGACAGGCTTTCGGGGTGGAATTTGCTGGACGAATTGTATCGACACATATGACGAATTTGCAGACACGACTGTTAGAGGAACAAGAACAAACCGTATTCTACCATTGGTACTGGCTTGGGGCTATTCCTTTACTCTTGTTTCCTGATGCACGAGGTGTTTGAGGCGCAGACTGACACTCCAATTTGCAGGTCTTCTACTTCAGCTTTTACTCCTCCAAGAATGAGCGTTTAGACTCTTGGCAAGATTGGTTCGTTTGCTTCCCCAATTGGACCATTCCACGTGACCTGGTGCCTGACCACCTGCATCACTCATTCGCCGCCTGCACCATCCAGTCGTCTCATCTCACCAATGTTGAGCAGGTTTTCGTCGCCCTTTATCACAGGGAAGCTACTAGGGGCTCCTGGCCATACTACTAGCAACAAGGACGCTGCGAACAGAGCATTCCGTCCATTTCTTCCGGCAGACCGCGCTGAGGCCCGGCTCCTGCTGCGTCTGGCGCTTTCGGCGCTGCTGGCGGCGCTCGCCAGGCAGCTGGTCTTCGGCGCGTTCTCCGCTGACGCGGAGGACGCCGCACCCGAGGCTCGCAGGGCTCCGGGTTCGTGACAGCGTCACACACGTGCAGACCTTGCTCCTAGGAGCGAGGACTCTATGTGGATGACTTGCGTACAGATTGTGTGTTTGGGGTCAATACCTGGCCTTAGTTTATACATTGTTCATGGGGGCGAGGATGAAAAGACCTAGAATGTCGGGGAATCAGTCCAAACTCCTAACTTGTTGTTTGAAGGTGCTCCCTTTGATGACGATGTTCCTTGTGGTTTTTCATGCGTGTGTTTTGCAGGATGTCTTTTTGTAGTTTATTCTGCAGGTCTGCGGGCAGCGGCCGGAGGGCCTGGCAGAGGCCGGGCCGGGTGGAATCCCGTTCCCATCTCAAAGACAATTTTGGTTGTGGGGGGCGAACGACCTCACATTGGGGGTAGGAAGCTACTAGGAACAAGTGCATCGCTACAAGTAACAAGTGCCTTACTAGTAGTAACAAGAAGCTCCTAGGAACAAGTGCATCGCTACTAGTAACATTGGATCTTGAGTTTCCGTGAATCTTGGCTCCACGGCTCCACGTGTCTTTTGTTAGTAGCGATGCCCGGGTTCCTAGTAGCGTCCTTGCTCCTAGTAGCGATGCCCTTTGCTCCTACTAGCTTCTTGTTCCTACTTAGAGACGGTGCGTGATGCCACGGAGGTACTTCCACTGGCCCTGATATGTCATGGCATCGCGCGGCTGAGTTCCTCTTTGTTGGATGCAGCTTGTATGCTTCAGCGTGGATGTCTTTGCTGTCGGTGGGTGGCGGTTTCACAAGGCGAGGCCGGATGAGTTGGATTGTGTCAATGTGTTGGCATCATTGGACTCCAACCTGGCATTGGACGCTACTAGGGGCTCCTGGCCTTACTACTAGGAGCAAAGGGCATCGCTACTAGGAGCAAGGATGCTACTAGGGGCGCTCCTGGCATCGCTACTAGCAGCAAAAGGAACCTCATAGGAATGGCCTAGTAGCGATCCTCCACCCTAGTAGCGATGGCCTCTATAGACCTTTCTATGGCCTCTATCTTTCTTCTTTCCATTTCTTTCCTCTCATACTTTAGAGATGGAAACATGTTTTCATGTTCAGCTGTCATTTGTTCTTGCCCAGGTCTTTAGCCATCAGTCAACGGGTGTTTCTCTCCCTCAATCCATGGAGGTTTGTTGAGCTCGGTGGTCATTGTCATCCTTTTCTTATCAAACACCAGCGATGCTGACGGCCTTTGGTGGATGTTCTGTTTCCTCCTGATCCTGCTGCTGGACCGGTGTTGGTTGGTCGGGATGGCCAGGGGCATCGCTGACGGCAGAACCTGGAGTGGTATCAGTCTTGGAGATGTCTTTGTTACTAGTAGCGTCCTCTTGTTACTAGTAGTAATGCTAGGAGGGAGCTACTAGAAGCGTCCTGGCTCCTAGTAGCGATGCCCTTTGCTCCTAGAGACTTCTTGTAGATGATCCTCATGTGCAACAGGAACAGGCCAAGGGAAACGTCATCGGAATAAGTTTCACGAAAGACTGCGTGCATCGCATGTCATTAGAAGCCTAAGGCAGTACAGGCACGGGACATGCACCTTCATGCGAGTTTTGGTTGGAAACAGAGTTAGCACTAGATCACAAAGGGTGTGCAGCAAAGTGATGAGTGTACATAAGTGTGTAGCAGTTTTCCTGTATTTCCAGGACTTAGCGCTGGTACCGTTCGTGGCGACGTTCCTTTTGGCTGCAGTTTCCACCTGCTTGGTAGATCGGGGTGTGGTGCCTTTGCTGGCAAAGATGTGGAACCGACTTCCGTACACTTGCCAAAGTGTTGTTTTATGCCTTCTGCGTTCTAAGGATAGAGGTATCTTGCCACTGATTGTTCCTATATTTGGTAAGCTAAGGAGTATAATTAAGAGCTGCTTGCAGAGAAAAAACATTAGGAAAGGAGGAAGTTGCTTGGGTCTTTAACAAGGCCGTTTTTAAAGGCCCAAGAATCTCCTGTTTTGCTTCTCTTTTTCTCCGTGTTTCTCTAAGAAAGCTCAGTTTCGGAACTGTTGTCCCTTGAGGTGAACAGCTTGCTCGAGGAGTTTCCCAATCACGACGCTCCGGTTCAGGCAAAGAAGACATGCGGAGCGGTAGCCAAACAGAACTCCTTTGGAGGTGCTTGGCGATTTCAATCGTTTCAGTTGGTGATCAGTGGCTAACCTTAAAATCGGATGAAACAAAAAAACATCTTGCAAAAACAGATGCCAAGATGTTTACCAGAGCAAGGACGCTACTAGGGGCTCCTGGCATCGCTACTAGGAGCAAGGATGCTATTGTTCATCCATTTTCTCTCCTTCAGGCGCAGCCTGCGGCCGCGGCCAAGATCACCATTAACTCGGAGCCCTCGGTGGTTGAGGAGCCTTCAGTGCAAAATCCGTTTGGATCTTTTCTTGGACGAGGAAAATCCAACGACATCCGAAAGAAAGCATCCAGTCCAGATGGCGAAATCCATTACAAACCTACGTGGGTGCCCAAGTTTAGTGCCGAGAAGTCCCTACCCTAAAGCTTGAGTCCCAACCTAAGAAACCTTTAGGAGCACGGAGTATACTAGGAGCAAAGGGCATCGCTACTAGGACGCTACTAGGGGCTCCTGGCCTTACTACTAGGAGCAAGGACGCTACTAGGAGGTCAGGGAAACTTGTTGGCTGGCACTTGGGGTTTGGAAGAGTTCTGATCAGATAACCTGGTTGGACTGAGTTATTGACTTCTGCTTGGTGAGAGAAGGGTTGTTGGTCCTTGGGTTGAGAGGTGAAGGGTGATGCTGGGCAGCTAGGCAGTTGAAACACATGTTCAACAGGTGTGCGACGGTTTTGTACCTCTTCCATTGTCATCTTCTGGATCAAAAGCATCTACCTCCAACCTACTAGCTTCTTGTTCCTATTAGTAATGCCAGGAGCTACTAGTAGCGATGCCCTTGTTTCTACTAGCGCTCTTGCTCCTAGTAGTAAGGCACTTGTTTCTACTAGCGAACATTGTTACTACTAGTAAGGCACTGGTTACTAGTAGCGATGCACTTGTTTCTACTAGCTTCTTGTCAAAGACCGGAAATCAAAAGTCCGTCGTCCAGGAGCCACACCCATCGCTGCTGAGAAGTCCAAGCAAAGATAGCAAAGACCCTTGGCTATGTCTTTGGTCCAGGGCCTGGACAAGTTTCTACCAGACAGCTATGGGTAGACTATGAATGTATGACCTAGTGTCTCTTTATATAACCTTTTCAACCTTAGAGGTAGGACGACTGGTTTCCCTAGAGGTGTCATCACATCAATCTCAGTATATCCATATATCTCAATAGTGCCTCAAAATTGCATTTTTTTTCTGTTATATTCAAGCAAACATTCAAAGCCGATTAATAAGTGCTTTCCGCTTTTAGTTTTCCTGAGTCGCTTATGATAGTGCTGGAGCGGCCCTTGCTAAGGAGCAAAACAAGGTCCATGGTGGGGGCCAAGTCCTATCGGTGTTGCCAGGCATGAACGAGGAGGCATGAGACCTGAAGGGAGTGGTGGAGCGCATTAGTGGCTCGAAGCAAGTTGACGGAGGCCATCGCTCTTAAGTTGGAGGCAGGCCAAGAAAAACGAAGACTTCGCTTGTTGAACGCCTGTGGAAGGAAGACTGGTCGGCGTCACACTTTCGAAGGGGTTTAGGTCTTGGACGGGACCATGTCCGTATCGCTCAGCTCAAAGGGTTTTTGAAGAACAGCATCAAGACTCTGCCATAGTTCCTATGGTTTCTACCAACAGCTGCTATTAGGCTGGGGGTCATTGCTTTTACGTCCATGGTTCGACCCACACCCACAACATCCAGACCTGCGCGGAATGGCGCATGCGTCGTTGGTATTGTGGGATTCGCGCTCCCAAGTTTGCCGACCAGCAATTTAAAATTCGTTTGCATATTGCATGTTGCGGGACATTTGGCAGACAGAGACATCTCAAACTTTTGGGACGATGTTCAACTCGACATTCGATTGACCTCTCAACCTCAAAAGCCCCATTGTGCCTATGGACCTGTTGGTTTTGAAGAATCGGGATGACTGATGCTAGGTCTGAGAGCCTCCAAGCATTTAAGATCCAAATACAGTACCATCAAGTTACTACTAGTAGCATCTTGTTACTAGTAGTAAGGCCAGGAGCCCCTAGTAGCGTCCTTGCTCCTAGTAGCGATGCCCTTTGTTTCTAGTAGTGTCCTCTTGTTACTGTGGTGTGTTCTTCAGATGTCCCGAATTCATGATTTGTGAGTGCACAGAGTGGCACTGTATGAGTCAGCGCAGCAACAGCTCCTGCTGTGCTCCCTCCATCCATGACAATCAAGCAGAATAAAGACAATCACTCACACAATGCTTTGTTGTTGACAGTGGTAGATGTCTTTTTCACGTCAAGCTGGATCAATGAATCCAAGCATGTCAATCATGTTAGCAAGTCTACACTTCGGTAGCTCAAAGGATTCAGCAGGTGTTGTCCTGTTCGCTTGAAGTTCGTCAGCCGGAATTGCCATGGTTCAGAATTCAGGAGTTTAGGTTTAGGTTGTCAGTGCTGGGCAACCTTGTGAACATGTTTTAAAAAGAAAACAGACTGTCTCTCAGTTCATTGCTACAAGCCTACTGTTCATACACATCCTTGTTTTGAGGTTGCCTGTCCTGACCGGTTTTTTGGCACGCCAGTCGCAACCCGCTGAAGAGCCGGTGTCAAACTGCGACCCTCTTTGCCAATGCGACAGACCGAGAGGCGCAGCCCTGACGAAGTCAGGTGAGGTGCCGGGCCGAGTTGGGCGAGCTCGGGGTGCGAACAGCACGAGGAAGACAAAGAATTCATTTTGTTCCTAGGAGCTTCTTGTTACTACTAGTAAGGCACTTGTTACTAGTAGCGTGGCACTTGTTTCTACTAGCTTCTTGTTACTAAAGAAGAGGAAGATACATGTCTTTTTTGAAATGAAAAGTCTAAAGAAGAAAGGTTTTTGGACCTGTCAGATAATCAGGTGCCGTTCTATCACAGATTGTCACCAGAGGTGACCCATGTTGGATCTTTCCCCTCCATCTTCTTACTTTAAGGCATGAGGAGTTCCATGGTACTATTGTTGTGACAGGCCTTGTGTCCGATCTGAGGCAAACGCTCCGACGGTGCGAGAACCAAAATATAGGTCAGATGGGTTTCTAATAGCTTCTTGTTACTACTAGTAAGGCACCTGTTCCTAGTAGCGATGCACTTGTTACTAATAGCTTCTTGTTTGAACTCGCAAGCCGTGGATCACTAGGAGCAAGGACGCTACGTTCGGAGCAAAGGGCGTCGCTACGAACGGAGCAAGGACACTGGTGACGCTGTTCGCAGCTTCCGACTTTGCCAAATGGCAATCAAGTCGTCAAAACATGGCCGCGTGGCTCCGGAGGTTGGGTCCTGAGAGGTCAACAGGGTGATGAAGCACAGGTGAAGAGACTTGAGCCATATAGCATCTAATGGCGATGGCCTCCAACCTAGTAGCTTCTTGCTCCTAGTAGTATGGCCAGGAGCTCCTAGTAGCGTCCTTGCTCCTAGTAGCGATGCCCTTTGCTCCGAACGTAGCTTCTTGTTACTAGTAGCGATGGCCTCCAACCTCACTTCTTTGACTCAATCTGTGGTGAAATATATTAAAATGCTCTTTGGCTACCAAGCCACGTTGGCTACCCAAAGGCAAGGCTTACCAAGGTCAGCCCCTGAGTATCTATTGCGAGATCAAACCATTTCTCTCGTTGAATCGTGGAGATGAGGGCCACAAAGCCTCAGTCCTCCCAGCTCCTCTGCTTCGATGGTCAGATCCCATCGAATCTGTTCGCGACAAGCTGAGCTCAGAAAAGACGCCAAGCTTTGACGGCCAATGCCGCTAGCTCGGGCGCCCCGCCATGGCGTGCGGCTCTTGGCGGCGCTGGCCGCCATGAGGCGCACGAGACGGAGACGATGCCCTTTGCTCCTAATGGCGATGCACTTGTTACTACTAGCGATGCACCTGTTACTAATAGCTTATTGCTCCTAGTAGCGATGCCAGGAGCCCCAAGTAGCGTCCTTGCTCCTAGTTTCGGAAGTGTTGCTGAAAACTAATACTTCTCCCATTTTGCCAGCGCAAAAAAACATGATGCATTCGTGCGCAATATGAGTGGCCACGTCTCATGCAGTACGAAATCCTTGGTTAATTTTCAGATGAGCTCAGTATTTTGGTTGGCTACAGTATGCATCTAGCTCCAGAGTGGTTTTTTGTGGTCGACACTTGTGTGTTGTTTCAAGGATGAATTCGGAGATCGTCCAGTCGTCCAGCGACTGATTCTTGCGGTTCAGGTCCTTGACTTTCGTGGACGTTTGGCCGCAGATGTCCTCCAGGTGGCTCTGGGCTGTGCCGTGTGGGAAGCAGAGGTTCGTGGACTGTTGCAAACCACGATTAGGGAGTTGATGCCTTGCGCCTTGTCGAATAAGTTGAGGTCGAACATTTCAGATTTACAGTCAACAAATCAACGAACCTTCACGAAACTTGCGGGAGGGTGAGATATGGGGAGGGTGTATTGCTGTGCGTTGTGGGTTGGATGTTTTTTGGCTGCATAATATACTCTCGGTTCTATTCATGCTGCTCTCTATATATATATATATTGGGCTTTGCCCCGGCACAGTAACAGTGACCACAAATCATACCACAAAAAAAAGCACAGCAATTTAGCCATAGTTGGCATTAGGATGACTTTCATTTGCCCTTTCTAACGCTGGCTACATTAATCATGTGCTACAAAACCCTCAAGTCAACCCGATGCCTTTTTTCATCTGAGCGCAAGCAGTGAAGAAATGATCGACAATATCGATCCAGTCAAAAAGGCTTGGGGATTCTGCTGCCAGACAAAATGAGCTGGGCAGAGCTGGGCTCTGGCAGGCCGGGTAGAAGGGGAGGCAGAGGCCGGGCAGGGCGCCGGAACTGTGGGCGGCCCCGGTGTTCCAGGCCCGGGGGGGGGCGGGCTGCCCTTTAAAACAAAAGAAAACTGGAGGCCCGCTATGTTTAAAAGGAAAATGAAACACAAAAAAGCACAAAAAAAAGCACAAAAAAAAGCACAAAAAACACACAAAACCGACCACAACTTAGTGGATTTTTTTTGTGCTTTTTTTTGTGGTCTGATTTGTGCTTTTTTTTGTGCTTTTTTTTGTGGTATGACTTGTGGTTTTTTTTGTGCTTTTTTTTTGCGCTTTTTTTTGTGCTTTTTTTGTGGTATGATTTGTGATTTTTTTTGT